CTACTACTACTACTACTACTACTCCTCCTCCTCCTCCTACTACTACTACTACTACTACTAATACTACTACTACTACTCCTACTCCTACTCCTACTCCTACAACTACTACTCCTACTACTACTCCTAACTTGCTATTCCCATCAATGCGAGGACACAAACTGCCGTTCCTGATGTTTGATTCCGGGGTCGGCGGCAGGGGCGGCAGCCCTTAAATATATATATACACTATACACATTGTAGACATTTGACAGCATTCCAAACATCGGCCTGAACAAAGCAGGACCTGAAATCTGCCTCAATCCTCGCATCTTCACAGATGCTGTGCTTCGAAAGTCACCCGAAATCGAAAGGCGTGATGCGCCTGGACCGAAGAGGAAATTCTCTTCTGTAATGCTCTCATCAATGCCGTTGTCACCTGCCAAGGTCATGCGGATTGGTGATTCGAGATTCTGAACCTGGCTCACTAAAGAAAGGATTCCCAGAGCTATAAAAATCATCAAATCCAGGAGCTGCTGGTGTTCCCTGTGTCACTATGTAACTTACGTATATCATTAATGTTATTGGACTTGGGAACACCATCCACCATGACCACAGCCGCTTGCTGCGCACGATCGGATCTAGCCAAGAGACCCAAATACCACGCCACAGCGACCACCAAAAGGAGTAAGGCGCCCACGCTCATGGCTGCCAAATGACGCATGAAACCCACCTGAGAATGCAATATCTGGATTCTTGCAGGGTCACTGGTCAAAAATGTCTACGAGGATGAATCCTCAATAGCCATCAAGACTTTCAAAACCTTTCCTGCGATCAAAGTGTGAGTCAAAGGTGATATCTTAGCGTGTTCAAATATTGGCAATTCAAGCTCTGGCATTTCTATGTCTTGGTAGAGGCTCAGATAGGCTTACATCGCTGACAGATCTTCTCTCTATCATCTGCAATCTGCTCCATGATCTGCAGGGTGAAGTTGATTCAAGCAAATTGAGTCGGTATCCAGAAGGTCATTGTTGGGGTTACAAGTTGCCTCATTGTATCGTTCAAGAAAATGCCATTCAGACTGCGTTCCAACAAAAATTAAATTTCTTCAGTCCACCCCAACTTCGCCCAGACACATGCCGGGCCAAAGCCAAAGGGCAACAAATGAAGATTCCGATCAACACCTCGATTGAGAGTCGTGGTGATCAAAGGCATTGACCCCATGACCCACATGGTCGTACATGAAGATAGGCGAGGAAGTGGTGGATTTGGGGCAATCCCATGTTTGAACCGAGACCGTTTGTCCAAGGTTGGATGTAGCTGCCATCCTGAACAGCTGGATTCACCCACCCTACATCAACGTGCCATCATGAATCGCAGAAACGCTGAGTATCTCAGCGCCTGCATCCCTGCCACCCACTTATTTAGCTGGCCACAATTCACTCAACTGCTCATCACAGCCCATGTGCATCCATTCCCAGCCACAAAGGACGCCCCGAAAAGTCCAACATGGAACCCCAAAAAAAAGTCCGCTTGGAAGATGACTTGGAGACTTAGATGGCGTTTTTCGATGTTTTTCCCGAATGCGTAGCAAGGGTTCCCGTTTCACTCTGGGGGTCTGGGGGTTGAGGGTGTGTTCGCTCGACGTTGCGTTCACGGTCGCAACCGTTCGCAACCGTTCGCAACCGTCCGTCCGCAACCGTTCGCGCGAGGACCATATGGCCGTGCCTATGGGAAGTTCTGCAGAGGTGGTCATTTTTGGAGGTTTCAGACGTGTCGTTGCTTCGTTTCGCGTGGCAGGCGTGGCATTTCGTGACATTCAGACGTGTTCTGGAACGTGTCGAAAGTCGTTTTGTGCGGCAGGTGCAATACTTTCGCAACGTTTTCACAAGATGTCTTGCATTTTTCGTGGCAGGCGCAGCACTTTGGACGTGTCCATCGTCATTTTTCGTGGCAGGCGCAGCACTTTAGACGTGTCGTGTTGCGTGTTTTTTGTAAATCGCATTGGCAGGGCTGCGTCAAGTGGCGACAAGGTGCAAATTCCGTGGCAGGCGTGGCATTTTGTGCTATGTGCTGAAAAGTGACGGAAGCCTCGCACGAAACATCGATTTTGAGGTTGCAAATTTTCAGGTTCTAAGGAAAACTCGTAGGAAAACGTCGATTTTGCAGCTACAAAGTGTGAAAATTGGAGGAGGTCTCGCACGAAATGCTCGTTTTGGTGCTCCCACCTGTCTCGTCTCGCGTCTCTGGTTTTCCCGTGGCCTCGCCGTGTCTATGCGGGAAGCTGCAAAACTTGTCTTTTTGTTATGTTGCCAACTGTGAAAATTGGAGGAAGTCTCGTACGAAATGCTGTTTTTTCTGCATCCACGTGTTCTGTCGCGAGTCTCTCGTTTTCCAGTGGCGTCGCCGTGTCTATGGGGGAAGCCGCAAAACCTCTCCTTTTCGAATGTTTCCACGCAGGTTGTCCTGTCGTTTTGCGTGGCAGACGTGGCAGTTTCTGACATTCCAACCTGTTTGATGATGTTCACAAAATGTCAAAATTGGAGGAAGTCTCGTACGAAATGCTTGTTTTTCTGCATCCACGTGTCTTGTCTCGAGTCGCTGGTTTTCCTGCGGCGTCGCCGTGTCTATGGGGGAAGCTGGAAAACATGTCCTATTCGAATGTGTCCAAGCACCTGAGACTTTACACTCCACACTCCACACTTTACACTACACTCTACACTTTCCACTCCTCACTCCTCACTCTACACTTTACACTCCACACTCCACACTCCACACTTTACACTACACACTCCTTTCTTTACACTCCACACTTCACACTTCACACTCCACACTCCACACTCCACACTTTACACTCCACACTCCACACTCCACACAATAATCCACTCCACACTCCACACTTTACACTCCTCACTCCACACTCCACACTTTACACTCCTCACTCTACACTCTACACTCCTCACTCCACACTTTACACTCCACACTTTACACTTTACACTACACTCCACGCTTTCCACTTTACACTCCTCCCTCCACACTTTACACTCCACACTCTACACTTTACACTTTACACTCCACACTCTACACTCCACACTTTACACTCCACACTCCACACTTTACACTTTACACTCCTCACTCCACACTCTACACTCCACACTCCCCACTTTACACTCCACACTCCACACCCTACACTTTCCACTCCACACTCCGCACTCCACACTCCACACTTTACTGTGCACTCCGCACTCCGCACTTTATACTGTACACTCCTCACTCCACACTCGACACTTTACACTCCTCACTCCACACTCCACACTTTACACTCCACACTCCACACTTTACACTCCTCACTCCACACTTCACACTTTACACTCCACACTTCACACTTCACACTTTCCACTCCACACTCCACACTCCACACAATAATCCACTCCACACTCCACACTTTACACTCCTCACTCCTCACTCCACACTCCACACTTTACACTCCTCACTCTACACTCTACACTCCTCACTCCACACTTTACACTCCACACTTTACACTCCACACTTTACACTTTACACTACACTCCACGCTTTCCACTTTACACTCCTCCCTCCACACTTTACACTCCACACTCTACACTTTACACTTTACACTCCACACTCTACACTCCACACTTTACACTCCACGCTCCACACTCTACACACCCCACACTACACTTTCCACTCCACACTCCACACGCTACACTCTACACTCCACACTCTACACTTTACACTCTAAAATTACACTCTACACTTCGCACTCTACAATTTACAAACTCCACACTCCTCACTCCAAACTTTACACTCCTCACTTTACACTCCACACTCCTCACTCCACACTTTACACTCCTCACTCCACACTCCACACTCCACACTTTGCACTTTACACTCCTCACTCCACACTCTACACTCTACACTCCACACTCCACACTCTACACTCCACACTCTACACTTTACACTCCATACTCCACACTCTACAGTTTACACTCCGCATTCTACACTTTACACACTCTACACTCCCCACTCCACACTTTACACTCCACACTCCTTACTTCACACTCCTTACTTCACACTCCACACTCCACGCTCTGCACTTTCCACTCCACACTGCAGACTGGTAACAAGGGAAACATGTACAAGACTGTTCAAATAAACTATTGCAGAAAGGTATTGTGCGTGACTGCATAACCATGTGTTTTGACATCTGTACCATTAACATACGTGTGAGCATTCGGGTTCGTGGGCTTCATCTTGTTCTGCTTTTTTTAGTCCTGGTCGTCCTAGAAATCCCTGGCCGAAAAGTCATCACCAGGCAGCCAAGAAGATGTTGCGTGCCCGATGGCTCGCCTGAAAGATCACGACATAGACCTGGCCGCAAACCTGAGTCGCTGGATGTCGCTGGAGGGTGGAGCTTTGGGGAGCTTTGGGGAGCTTTGGGCCCCTCAATGGGTTCATGATCTAGAGGAAAATCATGAAAATTCATAGGAAATCTACAGTCAGTTCAATTGAACGATTGACTAAGCAAGATCAATGGATCCGTTTAAGGGAAAATCTGCAGGAAACCATGGTTTCTACCATTCTCCATTGTTAGAGTATAGAGGGTTCCTGTAAACTTCCCCATCATCCACTTTGGGGACATGAGTTTACTTGGTGATTGCTGGGTTGTCCCCCACCCCAGTGGATTGCGACAATTCCTGGTGGTGCCTGGCAAACTCATGGGTATCGGTCAAGTCTTTGGGGTCCAAATGGAGATCATTTTTCTAGGTTGATGATTTGACCCACAGCTCATATCCCATCCATTCCCATCCCATACAAATAGTCGGTTGTGGCTGGTCCATGGCTTTCCATATACTGGAGCATGATACATCCCACGGTTCCTCATGCTTTCCAGATCTTTCTAGTTTGCATTTTTCCACACTGCATGATACTACTCATCCCCACTACAGAAACCAGGTGGTATCTCCCCAAAGACGACCTTTAGCCGCGCAAGCGCAAGAAGCAATCAGGTAGGTCGCAGCAGCGCCAAGACAATTGCAGACATTGACAAAGCCAGTGAAGAACGACATCGCCTCATCTGCCCCTCTGGCATTGCCAGCTGTGACCGTATCCCGTTACTGCACAGAATTTATTACTGTCATTGCGCCTCCATGCGCCAACATACTCCAAGCACGAAAATGTCATCTCATGTCATATCATTTCAATGGTTTAAGGGAAAATTGACAGAAAACCAGGAACGATCTTTCATGGAAAAACCCATGGGTTTCCTCCGATTTTCCCAAGCCAACCCATCTCATGTCTATGCTCAGTTGGGTGTCCGGATGAAACAGCTCTTCACAAATATCCTCGAAACTCCAGCGTTGAGTCTCAATGGAGGCCGTCGAGATCATTCGAATGCTGACAACGGTCAGCACTCCTCCAAACCTGGCTCGTAGCGTCGGGGTACACCCTCAATGGCCACTTTCAATCGGGAAAATATAAGAAAATGTGGGAAAAGGCTGATATTTATGTCAAACTCAAACTGGAAAGTTGTATCTTCTGCTGTTGTGCCCATTGTTGGATTTGTTGGTCAAGATTTCTTCCGTCCTTTGCCCGAGCTCTTCATTTTTTTCCAGCCCATGCCAGCCGAGATGCACAAGACAGATGAACTGATACAGGGCTCCCACTTCCGCACTGTGGGCCGCCACCGACAGAACCCCTGCTCCGATTGCAGCTTTGCTCAGGCAAATGGCCGTAGGAAAGATGCCACCGCGCCGGAAGACTGAGCTGGAAGCAGCTGGGGCTTCAGCCCTTAGCTACAGATGAAGCAACCACTGTGTAGGTGGGGCCAAAGGTGGATCTTTATATCGGTTAGCCCAAAGCAAAAATATGCAAAAATATGCAAAAATCCTATTCAGGATGTGTCAGAACTATTCGATTGGGATTCCAAACATTCCAAACACAATCCTGAATCACCAGTTCATGGATCAAAACGAGAGGCCAGCATGTTGCTGGAAATCAAATGAGGTATTCAGGTATTCGATTGCAATGTTGGCAGTAGCAACATTCATGACAAGACAAGACAACACCATCTGACACTTTCGGATTCCACGCGAGACCGGCTTTCAAACATCAAGGCAAAGTTGACAACATAACAAAACAACACCACAACCCCAACCACCAGAGAATAAGCAGCACCAATGCCGGCGCGACAACTAACTCTAGCACAAGCAAGACTGCAGCTCCAGCATCAAGCTAGAGTACTCTCGAAGCATGCGTGCGGCATTGAAAGAGTCTTTGCAAGGACGGGTTTGTTTTGACTTTTGGCAATCGTTGCAAGCACTGGCGAGCACTGGTGATTCGATATGTACAGCTCTAATAAAATTCAGGATCAAGGCACAAGAAACGCATCACACTGAAATGAAATTGAAAACTAAATATCTCAATCCATGGCAAAGGTCAAGCCATCCGACGATTTCATGTCACCATCGCTTGAAAGCGCTCCATCGAAACTCCCAGTCGCGGTGCTGGCAATGGTCTCCAAGTCCAAGGTGGTGGTATCAGTCTTGGCCTCAACTTTTCAGCAGACACAAGCTGGTAAAAGACTTGCTACTGGATGGAAACGATCAAATGATCACATATATATCACATAGATAAATCGTGTATAGGATGGCAAGGATTGGCTTGTTTTTGGACAGCAACGCCCCTTTAGCAGGACTATTTTTCACAAAGTTCCAAGAACTTATCATACCTATATATATCATAGCTGCGAAGATAGACAATCTGCAAGCCATCTGTAGGTGTCCAAACAGGATACGGCCACTGGTTGAAAGTCCCACAAGTCCCACAATTTTGGACCCAGCCTCAATGGCTGCCATGGCTCACGAAACAGATCACAGGTGCCAAAGGTTCCCAAGTCGCTGAGGGCAAAAAGCTACAGAAAACCGGTTCCATTGGATAGATCATCATGGATATCATTGGATATTGCTCTTGGATATCATGGAACAGTATACAGTCCTCGGTTTAAAGACCTCAGTCGGGGCTGATGGACAAGTTTCCCCATGAAGCAAATCCAAGCTGCAGACATTTTGTTGCCTTGGTGTCTTGTTAACAGACCTGTTTCATGCCAAACCCTGGCCAACCTTGATGTCTTCATGTCCAGGGATCTTCTGGAGCTTCTGATAAAACCTCTCAACCGTGCTCTGCAAGATGAGTTGAATTGTTACCCTCCTGTTTTCACAAGCCTTATGCATCCCTGTGCTGTAGAGGTTTTCTCCAAACTGCCATATTTTCAAGAACAGTGGTTCAAACACGCAGGGAAACCTAGGCTTTTCCAAGTTTGACAGTACATGAGTCAAACCTCGAGCATGCTTCAGTGTTGAGGAGGATGGTAGTAGTGTGACTGGATTGGTAGACCTTCGAATGACAAGCTTGAAACGAAAGCGTCAGCTTGGCGCACTTCTTGTTGTGATTCGTACCTGTCAGTTGGTGCACCCCCTGTTTTTTGGCAAAAGGGGAGAAGCCAATTGCGACATGAACCTGCTATCAATCCATATTTTGCTATGAACAGATGGAAGTAGGTTCTGGTTGACGCAGGCATCCACCATTCCAACCCAACGAGAGTGGAACCAGCATGGGAGTAGGCTGGTGCAAAGGACAGAACCAAACAAAACACAGGCAATGACTAGAGTCGCACTTTCCTAGTTTTGGGCTTTTTCTATGGTGTGTGTACTCTCCAGAAACCATTTGCGAAAAATGTGACTTCCCACCTTTCTCTGCGTAGTCGCCCACCAGCGTCTGGATACCAATGTCATCCGTCTTGGACTGGCTGGTCCTGCAACCGCCCAGGCAGTCTTCCCATCGCGCTTGATGATGCTCGTGTCTACAACCCCTGAAATCTTGCATATGCTTCAATCTGGAAGGCAGCAAGAAGCATATTTTTCTTGGACTGGACGAAAGTTGTTAAGAAATAGCATTGCAAGTCGAAAATAGAAGAAAATCGAAAAAATAGAATATACATGTATAATCATATATTTATATAAATATACTCTTTTGGAATTGTCTTTTTTTTGTAGTTATTTCCAACAATTTGATGTTTATTCAAACGATCGAATCCCAAAAAAAAATCCACTTCTGGGCTTCCCTGCACACTCAACTTGGGAGCATCTTTGCCTGTGGCCTGGCAATGTCCCTTGATTGTTCCATTGGGTCAGGTTCCATTTGTGGATGGTCAGATAACATACTGTAAAAAGAAAACATGGTTTGCCAGGAAATCATCTATAACTGCTGGATTTTCATATTTTTCATGGATTGGAAAATCTCCATGTCAGTATGGAAAATCCTTCCAAAATCGAATTTCTGAGGCAGGTGCCCTACAGAAATTCGTGCCAGCTGGACCGTGGCTGGCACTGGCGGCTTCTTGATGACCCCGCCTGGACCTGGCTTTGGAACGCATGGCAAGGGTTGCAGGTCATGTCTTTCCGACCCGACACACATGGCATCTCAAAAAGAGAGCAGCACGCGACTACCGACATATTATGCTGTATAGATATGTGTTTATGTGTATACCTACAATTATACATACATACATTACATTGGATTACACTACACTACAATACACTACCCTACAATACAATACAACACAACACAATGCAATACACACAGTCATTGTACATCTAGATACTTCTGACTCTTTAACCATCCAGCGTGATGGGGAAAAACAGTTTGGAACAATACCTGCCATAGCCATTCAGCTTCCGCCCAACATTGACGCTTCTCACCTGCCGTCGCTTCTCCTGTGGCCAGCGTCCGGTCTCACTGGATAAGAACCCCTTGATCTAACTGGTGATACCAATTAGATCCAATTATATAGTAGATCAGGATATCACAACAATATGATCTGGTGATCATCGATATCTGGTGATATTTCTGGTCATATTGCAAATATGTGACAGGGTCAACTCATGTGGCTCCCAATGGAATGCACCCCCAGGGAGAAAAATGCCATCTTCGAGCCTGGGCGCTTCACGGCAATTTGCCTCGAGACGGATTGAAATCCCAACAAGCTTCAACCTGACCCAAGGTTCTCAGATTTCTTAGGGAAAATAATCCATGCTTTAATCCTAACTGGCCCTATTTTTCATGGAAATCAAAGCATACCATAAGAATGCCAACGAAAAATCACTGTGTTTATTCAATTTTGGTGATATTCATTGAAGCCACCTGTTTTTCACCGATGAACAAACCCTGGAAGAACCTTCCCAACTGAGGGCATCCACTGGCCGGGTCTGGCTTGCACGGGCCGTGGCCCGCCGGGAGCGGCACCGGCACTGCCCGGGGGTCGCAGGCCAGGCTGGGCCACCTCAGAAGACACCAATATTGGGTGGTTGCTACAGTTGCTACAGCTAAATGTGTATGAATCAAGCCATTGATCAGTGGGCGAATGGCTAGTAATTAAAGGGAAACACTCCAGCCATTGAGAATTCTGACCCATCCCCAAGCCGAAACTTGGGCAGGTTTAAGAAGATTGAAATACCAAAACTGGGAAAGCAACAACAATCAAGATGCCTATGGATCCTATGGATCCTATGGATCCTATGGTGGCCTGGACCTTGGAAGCTGATCCTTGGCCCCACGGGTGCCCCCCGTGCCAGGCCTTCTGTCCCGGTCTGACTTGACCTGGTGTGAACTTTTGGGCCATCCATCATTTGGAAACTTGGCCAATGATAGGGCCAATCATAAGTGATGGAACACAACAAAAACATTACAAAAACCAGGTCACCTGGGCATGAATTTCTCATTGGAGCAAAGCAAGATGTGAGTGATTGAAACCACCAGCAAAGTGCTTGATCGTCTGAACAGAACTGGGAAAACCCTACTGTACCTTCCTTGAAGAGACTGGTCAAACAGGTGCAGACAGCGCAACGAGGCCCAACTTCCACCACAGCATCATCAACTCCAACGCAAACACAACTTTCACTATCATCAACTATCATCAAGTACTGGATGGAAGAAATCCTGCACCAGTTTGTAGATGGTTTATCCCAGGATAATCCCATTATTTACAGTTTTTTGTAGTTGCCAACAGTATAATCAATCAACTATTATATAACTCTCACAAACCATCATCAACTATCGTCAACTATCATACGATCATCAACTACAGAGTCTGGAAGAAATCCTGCACCAGTTGGTAAGTGGAGAACAAAGTATCATTAACCCCAACTATTACTATGTTTTACTATGAATTATTGACTATCATCAATGATAGTGCTATTATTAACTATCAACTATCATCAACTACAACTAACTGTGATTAAGTATGATTAACTATGATAGTATTAATACGCGCAAACACCCCGATTCGCCCACACCCCTTCTATGCTGTACACTTGGGGATATCAAACGTTAGACTTTACATTCAATTGGGAAGATCAACAAGGGTATTTAGGGAATATAAATTTCCCACCCCCGTTAAACTTCTACATTCATTGAAGATCTTCAATAAGGGTTTAATTCTCCCACCCCCGTTAAACTTCTACATTCATTGAAGATCTTCAATAAGGGTTTAATTCTCCCACCCCCGTTAAGCTTCTACATTCATTGAAGATCTTCAATAAGGGTCTGATGATGATGATGATGATGATGATGATGATGATGATGTGTAAGAGACTCGCACAGGTCCCTATGCTGTGCGTGCCGATATACAACATCAAGTTAACCATGATGCAAAAAACTCCCATGTTTACCACGTTTTCAGCACATACGAAGATGGCCGCCGACAAGCGCGGGCAAATCGAGGTGTTTGCCCGTATTAATACTATGATTAACTAATCATCAACTATCATCCCAGTAGCCTGGCAATCCCGGAACCTGCCTGGCGAAGCAGGCCTAGGCCCAGTCGGGCGCACGCCGGGGCGCGTTGCAACTGGCACCTGGAGACGTTGCGAACATCTCAACAAATGTGACGAACATGTGCAGAACTGTGTATTTATGAGATATGTGACATAATTTATGACATAATGCAATGTTCTGTGTTCTTATGTTCTCTTACATTATGTTACATCGAGTTGTGCTGTGTCGTGTTGTTTCGCATTGTGTCGTGTTATGTGTTGCATCAAATTGTGTTGTGCCGTGTCGTGTCCTGTTGCGTTGTGTTGTGTTGTGTCGTGTTGTGTTTTAGTATGATCTGTTATGTTATGTTACGTTACGTTATGTTATGATATGGTATGTACCTACATGTACAGTATGTGTATATATATACATACATACAGATATAAATTATATAATACATGTACGGATGGCTTCAGATGTGAATGTATATGCGCTCTTGTGCGTCTGTCGGTGTATCCACACTGACCCAAACAACACACACACACAATGCCACTTTCACCCCTTGATGTTCAGGTCAGCCTGTCTGGGTTCCCCACCTTTCCGGGACCCGGCCGCGCCTTGGAGGGGAGACGGTTGGGGATGGGCTGCCCCTTAAGTCATTTGGGATTTCTTAGGTAACTTAAGCGTTTTAACTCGTGGCCAGTCATGCGTTTTTTGATATATAGATATAGTTAACTTGACATGATATGGGTTTGTCCACAAAGGGGGTAGGCCCTAAATTCGCAATTTGAAGATAGGTGGATGGATGGACGGACGGATGGACGAGGATGATGAGGATGATGAGGATGATGAGGATGAGGAGGAGGATGAGGATGATGAGGATGAGGATGAGGATGAGGATGAGGATGAGGAGGATGAGGATGAGGATGATGAGGATGAGGATGAGGATGAGGATGAGGATGAGGATGAGGATGAGGATGAGGATGATGATGATGATGATGATGATGGTGATGCTGATGATGATGATGATGATGATGTTGATGATGATGATGATGTTGATGATGATGGTGATGGTGATGATGATGATGATGATGATGATGATGTTGATGTTGATGTTGATACACCACTCAATTTTCACATTTGGGTTGCTAAACGCCATATGACCGACGGTTGACGGATGGACATCCATTTAAGAACTAGTTCGGTATTCACCAGGGTTCCTTGGTTTTGGCATATTCATATATTACATACTACATACTACGTACTACATACTAAATATTTCTTTGCAGATTACATATTACATATTACATATTGTGTATTACATATACATATTATGTTACAAATCACATATTACATATTACCATTACGTAATACATATTACGTAGTACATAGTACATAGTACATAGGTGTACATAGTACATATCAAATATGCGTCTACATAAGGCCATTGGGGAATGATTCCCCTTACCAACCATCATTCCAGCGACGTCACAGTGGAGGCATTATAATTCATCCAGTTATATGGTGGTTTCCAAAATCGGGCTACCCCAAAACCATGGCTGTCAATACTAAAATGGTCTAAATTTGGATGATTTTGGAGTACCCCTATTTTCAGAAACCTCCATATGTGTAAGTATTCTATTGTTCCTTCATCATCGTTTTCCCATTAAAAACTATAGTGAAATGAACATGACCTTGGAGTCCCGCATTTTCAGACCCTGGCGGTGAGCCATCAGACGTTTCAGGCTGGGTTCCCTGCTGTTGGCCAGCTTCGTCCCTTCATGACGCAATCTGCACCAAATGACCTGCAGACAGTCTACAGGTGCCCCAAACGTGGATTTGCAAAAGGGGGATTTAAACGAAAAAAAACATAGATTCCTCAAAATAGTGGATTGGCTAAAAACAAAAAACCTGTTCAGCAAATCCACATGAAGCGGATGATGATTTGCAGAATGACCCAAACCTGTCGGTTGGGTTGGGGATAAATGGACTATCTTGACTCACAGGGAGGGCGTGGCTTTGAAAGTTATCAAGCACCTTTCTTATCGCATTGTCTTAGCTGCGTCCACGAAACATAGCACTGCTCCGCTTAAAGATTCACAAATTACTCTTGTTTCGCAACAGTGACAAGGCTGTCTTGTACATAATAATTGGTTGGTCATTTCAGGGAGTGAATGAACACCTGACCATCACCACCATCACCACCACCATCACCACCACCACCATCACCACCATCATCATCACCATCATCATCATCATCATCATCATCCAATAAAAAGACAAAAATATATACATATATATATATATTATTAATAATAATCCAGTTTAATTTTTAATCCAATGATATAATCCAATCATCAACCATCTCAGCTTGGCCCCACTTTGCCCCATGTTGCCCCTTGGGCAGCGAACGCCGAGATGGCCGCTGCCCAGCCGCGTGGAAAAAGACCAAAACCGCCCGTTTTTTTCGGGTGCCAACTTGAGCAGGTTCAAAAAGCCAAGGTCCCACAGGTCATCGCACTCCAACATGTTTGATGATGTTGCTATGGGTCAATATCTATCCAAGCCGGGTATTTCCTATCCTATTCTCAAGGTATCCAAATTTTGACCCGCACCGCCTATACCCATCTGTGCATCTGTTCAACAATGACCTTCGTAGCAGTGATGTATATGGGAATGACTGGGTTTTCCGCAACAAGCCAAATCATCCAACTACGTCCAAACACTCAGTCCCATAACTCTCCTTCTCAAACTTGTCCCAAGTCAGTTGAAAGTGACTACTAGTCCCACAAAATTTCTTGCTTTCAGCGTCAAGAATCCTTTGGAGCAAATCAAAACTGCCATTCCTCCAGTTCCACACTGTAGATTCCCTGTCCAACTGATCCAACGATGTTCGGATTTCCACCTCGGCCACCTGCGCCCTGAGCTCTGTCAGCTCCTAAAAAGCGCTGTCAGGAAAGCTTGGAGGATCTCTGGAAATATCAACAAGAAGAATTGTTTTCTTCAACTGACCCCAACCCTGACACGCTATTCTGACATAGCTTCTCAATATTTCTGACGTACCATCTGGAAGTATATATGGCATATCTATTCTGATATTCTATCTAACATTCTTTCTGGCATATACTCTGACATTTTATCTGACATACTTGCTGGCATACGTTCTGACAATTCTCTCTGGCTTTCTATCTGGCATCTAGTTTGACACTCTTTCTAGCATCTATTCTGGCATTCTATCTGGCATCTATTCTGACGCTCTGTCAGACATTCTTTCTAGCGTTCTATCTGACAAATATGTTGACATTCTGTCTGGCATTCTATCTTCTCTCAGGCATGCCCACCTGCATCCAGAACTCGCGATAGGATTCGGGCCCAAGCGTCCCCAGCTGCATCTGGAGCTCACGATAACCCAGCTGCATCCAGAGCTTGCGATATCACTCGGGTCCATTGATGCCCACAGTCAAGACCAGCTGGCAAATAAGTAGACGAGGAGAAGAAGGAGAAGAAGGAAGAGTTGCACCTTTGTTAAAATCTAAATACCCTCACCTAGCAGGTGGGGAACAACATAAACCAACGACTACAAGGTTGAAATCTAGAATGTGTTTGATAGTTTTGAACCTACGATCGCCTCATATCACGCCATAGAACAAGCCAATCAAGAAGGGTCTGAGTGGCTTCACCGGTTCACAACTGGCTATGGATCAAGACCTATAAATACCATTTTTAGGGGGATGAACATCCATTTACCAGCTATTTTGATGTTCACCAGGGATACAAGGTGTTGACCCATCCCCAACTGTGAGTCAAGGCACTGGAGCCCAAGACGCGTTGCAAAATGTTGGTGAAAATATGTGAAATTGGGAGAAAACCAACTGGATATTTGCGGTACCTAAAATTGTTTGGGCAATTCTCCCAAGAAAAAGTTCCTCGTGTCCATCCAGATGTTTTGAAAAAATGGTTTTCCTAATGATAGAAAATGCATCCCAGGCATTCATGGAGATTCGCGGCCTTCTCAGCCTTAGACAGCTGCTTTTGGAGCAGCGGTGGTTCCTTCATCACCTGGGAACAGCCGATGGCGTTCTCCCGGAAATTGGGAGGAACCCTCCAGAACCTCAATGGGAGGAACTCTGTAGCAACAGTAACCACCAAAAAGATGGAAAAGTGAACCGTCCATTGGTCCATTATTTTAGAATATTTTAGAATTGTAATATGTTGGTTTTCTATGGCCTCGCTAAGGTGCCAGGATTGCCGTAGGAGCGTCACCTGCCAGGACAGCCAGGGTGGCGATCGTCATGAAAAGGAGTACCCCGAGTACCCTTTAAAGTTGGGAGGCCACGTTTCCACTAAAACATCAGAATGTTATAACGAATCAATAAATGACAAGAAATGATTTATGATATAACAATATGAAATGATGATGTCATCTCATGAACAACAATTGAGCAATGCGCAAAACCTCTGTCATTCCACAAACAGCTTCTTGGTTAAGAACGGGATTCCCAAAAAATGGATGGTGATCATCCCTAATATGTTGGATAGCACCAGTAGTGCCCGCACGAGGCGGGGCGGAAGTTGCCTTGAGGTTATCATATAAGACCTTTTTCATCTATAGAACTTGCGTGCGCCGTGCGCCAGCCAGGCCCGTGCGCGTGCTTTGGGCAAAAGCGGCGCGTTGTTCCACATGTCACACTTGAAACTCCACACTTCACACTTCACACTTCATCTCATCTCACCTCATCTGAATTCTTCTCACCTCATCTCAGCTCATCTCATCTCTTCTCGTCTCACCTCATCTCTTCTCATATGTCATCTAATTTCTTCTCAATTATGTTCATCTCATCTGAACACTGCTCGACCTTTCTCATCATCTCATCGAAGATCTTCTTAGCTCATCTCAGCTCCTCTGTACGTCCGAAAGTTTTTACTGTCAGAAAGAAGTTTTGTTTTAACAAAACAGGTCGTTATATCCACACGTATCTAACAAAAGACAACAAAGCATAGCGCACACCCAATTTGGTCATGAAAGCTAAACTGTCAATTCCTCATCCCCGCCATAGTTCAGCATGCACCATCTTCCCAACAGAAAACAAACCACTGGAATCTACATAAATGTGCTTGTGCACCAATCAAAAACTTTTTCATGACATTCTCTGGACTCTATTTAAAGGAAGCTCCCAAAGAGCCAAAACCTAGTAAGGACAAGTATGACGTTGATGCCACAGGCTGGTCAAATAGAACACTTTCGAAACAACCCCGCCGAACCACAGGATCAGCCCGCACTGGGCACTGACGCGCGTGCAAGCAGAGACTGGGCTTGGCGATAATAGATAATGGTGCATTTATGCAGCCATTATAGTGCGTTATAGTGCGTTTTGTAACCAAAGACTCTAAAACACCATGTAACTGCCATGTGCAGGAACACGCGAAACAAATCGAAACTGCCATTACAGTGCGGACTGCGCCGGTTCGTCGCCGGCTCCGGCCACCCCACACGAGAAAACACTCCGGCATCCTCCCAACACAAGTCCCATGCAACATTCACAGCCACGACTTCCCAAAGTCTCCACTTCCCTGAGTCACCATTTCTCTATGTCCTCACTTCCCAAGGTCACCACTTCCCTAAGTCACCACTTCCCTGAGAGACCACTTCCCTAAGTCTCCATTCAAAGTCATATGTAACTCGGAATATTGCTTCCTAACTTCGTTTGAAAACAGTACAGTATAACCCCAAAAAATCCTCCACCAACCAACCATTAGACCTTGGACCACAAGGTGGGCGCCGGCAAGGTCCAAATCTGGGGATGTCCAGTGGCCGATCCGGATCCGACGCATGCAGAGGACTCACCAACATAACCATCAAAATTCGGATGTTAACATATATTTCTTTAAAAAAATATATAACCTACCACAAACCAATGGAAATTTGGGTCTGAAGATTTGGGGGGAAGGCTTGAAGATCCCATTCCACCCACTCGCAAATCATCATTATATATCCCGTTTAAAAAGTTATCAACATGGCATCTGTAGAGTAAAATCCAAAGAGGAACATGGCATGGTGGTGCATCACCAAAATCTATGTTAAAATCAAAATGATATATATATATATAGGTGTTCTGGGGAATTAACGCGTACCATTCTGTAGAGGAAATTCCAAGCGAGAAACATGGCCATGATATCTCACGCGGGTAACTCGACCATTTTCAGACACCCCAGGTGGTTTCACTGGTTTGCCTGGGTTTCACCTTCACATTGAGATGTGTTGGAAATGCGACGATTCGCAAAGAGGTCAATCATTTCATGGCAGCCGCATGGAAATATTGAGGACCACGCGATTATGTACATGAGGCAAAGGATAACCAGGAGGCTGACCTGAAGTTCGGTAGAAGGTGCCATCAGGGTAGCACCATTCCGCATTCCCCCGCTCACAAAGGTCAGTCATGGTCAGTCTGAGTCTGCAGAGTTTTCCTGAACAAATCATCAGTTGCGATTGTTTCACCTCCATGGTCCCGATGAATCTTCGATTCAATGCAAAGGATCCCATGCCTTTTGTGAGAACACGTCTTGCTCTCCAGTGCACCCAAAAGCTTAAGCTTTTTATCTTGTTGGCCCTGCATCAGTGACAGCTCCAAAGGAGGCTGCGATCGCAGCCGCCATGCACCAAACCGCCACATGTGAACGCTTTGAGCAGTTGACACGTAGGAGAGTGGCTCTGAGTCCATGTATATAAGTGAATTTTCCAAAACCTGAAATGGCGACAAGTTGTGGGGCTGATAGTACTTAATGTAGAAATTATAAAAAGTCCAGAATGAGTTCAATATTAACCTTCATTATCCTTCAAGCGAAAATTGAGGTCTTCGACGATTTGAGTCGTCGATGTGTCTGTTTCCGGTCCTCTCTAATGGAGACCTTGAAGCAGTCCGATGTGTGCAGCACGAGAGATCCACTTGCAAATGCTTTCAGCAGTTTGACAAGTCCGAAGTCCGAGATAGACGAGTGAGACTGAGCCAGAACCTAAGGTTCCTTATCTACATAGAAATCTATGCATATCTAAGCAGTAAGCACTTAGCCCTGCTGCGAACTCGGAGGTTCCCACTGCGGCGGACCGAATGGACCGAAAGGTGGAACGCTGTTCGCAACTGCTTGTGCCAAGCAAAGCCCAGTGGAAGCACCGGAAGGGTTCCAAACGTTGGCTGATCTCCCAACCTGCTGGGGCTCATTGTTTGGACCTTGTACATTAGCAAAGCGCAACAAGGGCGCCAAGTGGTACACCTCTCTGGTGTTGGGAAGATCCCCCATGTCACGTGGAATGACAGGGCATGAGATCACTTTTTCTATCTCATCCAGGGCATCTTGGATAGCTGTCTTGAAACCCATCAGGCAGAGCTGGGATCCGTGAGTCTGCAAAGTCACACAGCTGTGGCGTGCAATGCTGTCAAGGATGCCTTGGCTAAGCTTCTCCACAGGAGCTTCCACTTGTGCTTCAGCACACATCTCCTCTAGATGCTCTAACAGAGTACTGGCCATAGCTACAGCATGAGCCGACCCGAACAATCTCACATGGTTGGCATTGCGTTGCAAGTGGAGCCGACAATCTGTGAGTTTCTGGATCAAGTTCAGGGCCCCAAGACCCTGTCTGGTTCTGAGTAACTCTTGCCACACAGCTGTAGAAAGCTCCTTCACAGGCCCGAGCCGTTCCTCCACCTGCTGCTGAGCTATCTGAACACCTTCCGGTGTGGAAGTGATCTCCAAGACACGAAGTTCCTTGTACACTTTCAGCACGGTGTCAGGTGGGCAGTTGGCTTTGATCTCACGGAGCCTGCGACGCCATCGAACCGTCTGGGTGACCAGGAGAGCCTGCTCAGTCAGCGGTAAGCGCACGGTAATGTTAGCAACGCCGCTGGCAATCATGTTCGAATGCACAGCAGGCGCTTCTAAGCAAACTGTGGCCAAATGGCTGGTGTGTTTGGCAAAATGACTTCATATATCATGGGATTGAAGGTTGGATGTCAAATTGTGTCAAATATGTCAAAGTTAAGAATAGGATTGCCAGGATCCCAGAGTGAAACACTCAGCTACTAGTCTCCTCATGCAACATTCAGATACTACGTCGCTACGTAGTCCCACCGAAACTGCGGGAGACTTTCCTGCAAGCACCACCATCCCCCATTTCTCAAGCATCGGGCTGTGCTACATGACAGACCTCGCCGCAGAAACATTTGCAAAAGCAAGGCCACCACCGGGTCAGCTGGACATGTTCCAGGGGTGGTCAGGTGGTCCTAGTCCAGTTGGTTGAGGATGGTCATCAAGCCCAGATCCGCAGCCTTACAGCCCTACAATCTCCAGGTCTTTAATAATTGTGTAATCTTGGAGTGTGGCAGAGAATGGCCTCTCTGCGCAGATCTGTAGAAGACTGGTGTCTGATAACGTGTGCTGACTTAAATGGCCTGGAAGGTGCCCCGGTACCCAAGTAAAGTTCCTCTCCCGGTCCGTGGGCTGCGAAAGATTGGGACACCATGCCACAATAGGTTCCGCCACCCTTCTCCTTTGGCCTCGCCAGGGCAGAACAGGTCCGTCCAGCGATTCAGGGATTGTGGTAAAGTGGACCCTTCTTCCGAGATTCCAAACCTTCCTTCACCTTCCACATCCTGAAAGTGTTCAGTGAATTCCGTTTTTAGGAGATTCAATCGACTTCAGCGTTTCGTGGCCTACCCACGGAAGTGACAAAATTTGAGAGATTGTGATTGTTTTTGCAGACTTTTGCAGCTAATCCTTGACGTTTTTGGGCTTCTGTCTGTCCAGAGTCCAGATTGCCCATTTCCAGTACAAGTAGATTCAGTAAACTGCAGCGGTTGGTTAAATTCTCCATCGTTTGCACCCAAAACATAGTCAACTTCACAGTTCACTGTATTTTTTCAGGGTTTAGAAGTTCACTTCTCTGCTGGGTTTTGCTTCTGAAATCCAATGGATTCCCGCATTGCTCGGGACCCTCGTGTAGTGGCCGGTGGCAAAAGACCAGCCTACGCGTGGGTGGGACGTATGCACAACATGCATCCAGATGAACCACCTGTTGATCGCCACTGTTTCCAGCGCAGGCCTCATCCAAGCCCAAACTATCCTGGTGGCTTTGGAGGGGATGCAGGCTTTCGTCGCAGAAAGCTGGGCCCCTTTCGCGAAGCCGCTAGAATTATCAAGGCATCGGAACAAGTGCCAGTGAACATTCTTGACCCTCCCCATCTCCCAGAAAAAAAATGCACCATCTTTTCTGGGGTGTCTCGCGGAAAAATATCATCTCATCGTCCCCCCAAAGTTTCAGAACCGCCCCGCCCTTTTGAATTTTGTCCTCGCTGGTCCCACCCCGTGATCGCATCAGGCGGCGAGAAGCGACTGTGATTCTGAACAAGTAGTTTGTGGTGAGCTGAGTCATAGGGTGTCACATTATACATTGATGTCCATGTCCATGACATGTTGCAGTACAAACACAAGGTCAACTGGAAGGATACCGAAAATGCACATGACCATCCTGGTTGAGGTCTCAGTAGGACCCATGACTTTCATGTTTGCCACCAGGAATCTGTACTGAGCCATCCTCCAAGAAAGGGCCATTACTCAAAAGGGACCACCTTCACGAAGACGAAACCAAAGTTATTCAGAGAAGCCAACCCTTCAGAATCGATTTACGGTTGCAATGATCGAGTGGGCAAGCAGCTGTACACTGTGCTGAAATTGGTTCTCTGGAACCCCGTCGAATTCTTAAACTTGCAATTGGGGTTGTAAATCCAAGTCGGGCAGTTGCAACCCAACTCAACCCCTGGAACTGCCAGTTGGATACACGTTGCCGAATCTTTGGATGATACAAGCCACAATGCAACAGAGTCGCAATGATCCACCTGCTTCTGGCCGACCCTGACCACAATATGACAATAACTATGTATGACTGTATTTATTTCAAACAGGGCCATCTCAAGAAGATCTATCCCATTTACAACACCTCCGTTACCGCCTTAGGATCATCTTCCAACCCTCTATCTGCATGTCCCCCGTTTTTCCAGCAAAGGTGAAATGCCGATCTGCGCGATTCGCCAACATCGGTCACCTCCGGTTCACCTCTTGTTACCGCTTGGTGTCTCTTTTGAGACAGCAAAGTGGTTGCGTTTTACACTTGAAGGGGTCAAATCATGGTTGGTGTTGATGTGTATTGCTTTCTTGTGGACTTGAGGCCCTCGTGCGTATGCTCAGTTGCCCTTGAGCGCCACTCAGAGACCCAGCACGGCACGTCTTTGCCTTAAGTGGAAACAAGATGCGGCCCACGAACCCGAATGCTCACACGTTTGGTAATGGTGCAGATGTCGAAACACATAGAGAGGAAAACCTCATAGATGTTGCAACCCGTGGCTGCAGCCAATTTTGTATCTTCGGCAGTGCATGATTGTGCGATGAGGACGCTACGCGTAAAGTGTAAAGTGTAGAGTGTGGAGTGTAAAGTGTGAAGTCGAAAGTGTAAAGTGTAGAGTGTGGAGTGTACAGTGTAGAGTGTAGAGTGCGCAGTGTCAAGTGTAAAGTATAAAGTGCAAAGTGTGAAGTGTGAAGTGTAAAGTGCAAAGAGTGGAGTGCAAAGTGTAGAGTGTAAAGCGTAAAGTGTAAAGTGTAGAATGTAGAGTGTCTACACTTATAAGTAAAGTGTATAGTGTGGAGTGTAAAGTGTGAAGTGTAAAGTTAAAAGTGTAGAGTGTAAAGTGTAGAGTGGGAGTGGCAAGTGTATGTAGAGTGTAAAGTGTACAGTGTTGAGTGTAAAGTGTAAAGTGCAGAGTGTCCCAAATACTGCACCAGCTTCACAAAATGACAATCCACACACGACAGATCTTCACCAAATGCTGCACTTGCCACGCCAAATGACACTCTCATGCCCCACGGCTGCCACGCGATTTGCACGTTGTCACCACTTGACGCAACCCTGACAATGCGATTCGCAAAAAATAAAAATTAAAAAAAACGCCACGCGTCTAAAGTGATGCAGCTGCGACGCAAAATGAACACGGATGTCTCCAAAGTGCTGCACTTGCCACGAAAAATGCAACGAATCTTCTGAAAACGACGCAAAAGTATTGCGCCTGTCACACAGAACGACTTTGGACACGTTATGAAACATGTTGGCATGTCACGAAGTGCCACGCCTGCCACACGAAACGGAGTTGTGCAACGTTTGAAACCTCCAAAAGTGACCACTTTTGCAGCCCTCGCCAGAGGCACGGCTGTAGCGACCTCACGCGAATGGTTGCGGACGGTTGCGAACGGCAGCGAACGGTTGCGCAACGTCTAGCGAAGAGTGAAACGCGAACCTAACCTTGCTACGCATTCGGGAAAAATGGTGAAAAATGGTGCCATGAAAAGGCGTCATTTGCACAAATTTTCCACATCAAAGAATAGCCGGGAAAGAAGATGTTAATGTCGGAAATTCGTCCGCCAAGTCATTATGGAGAGTGATTTGTTTTTCAACCCATATTCCACGTTGATGGCCTGCTATTCACACAATGCAGTCCCGATTCTCGACACCGCCAAGCTGCTCTTGGAGGAATTGGAAGAGCTGCTTCGCCTGCTTCAAGTGGTTACCAATACCCCCAACTTGAACATGACCAGAAATATCCAGAAATGATGGGGTTTAGTTTGACTGCAGAATTTCGAGCTCAACATCTTTCAGTTGAGCTCAACATCCAACATCTCTGTGCCTTTTCGGTACATCCAGGGTTCTTGTCCGGGTGCAATCGGATCAGAAGATCCTTCACCTTCGCCTACCCAGCTCTCCACAGCGGGAGGAGGTGCCAGCAAATCAACCGCGGTCCATCTGCGATTGTCGGCCAATCTGAAAATATCTTCAAAATTCTTTAAACATGTTATGTATGTGTGTGTGCATGATACATATGTTTATAGGAATATAAACTCCTCTATAGTCTATAGCCATTCTCCAAGCCTGTGCGACCCCATCTGTCAACGGGGAAAGCAATTTCCAATCTCATCCATGGATCTGTAACAACCAACTGAAGATGAACAGCCCAGAACTCTTCAGAGGAAAGAATCATGCAGTGGGATGAAAAAATGTTTCGGATAAAACCCATCATCGAAGGTTTGTTGGGTCTGAACTTTTGACACTCCCAAGTTTTGATGGATGATTTTCACTCTTGTGCCTTCTGAATGTGGCAGATGTTCTAATTCAACATCCATGTTTGGGGGTTTCTTGAAATGAAGGAACCCAAAACCGTTGGTTTCCCTATTCAACATGATCAATTTTGAATGATTTTGGGCCCCCCCGGTTCAAAGAAAACCCCATTTCTATCCATTTCTGATGGTTTCCCCACAAATTTCAGTGCGTTCACCCCGCAACTTGGCCTTCTGTGTTTCTCGCGGAGCACCCAGAACGGAGCGAAGTTCCTGGCACAAAATGAATGGTGAGATCGTCCATATTTAGAATAAGAGTGACCAAACTTGTGGTTTCAAATTGTTCAAAGGGTGCCAAAAATCGCTCAAACCCAGATATGTTTACTTTACATATAATACATATACATCTGTGTAGATATACATAGATAGATAGATTAGATAGATTAGATAGATTAGTTAGATTAGATAGATTAGATAGATTAGATAGAATAGATAGATTAGATAGATAGATAGATTAGGTAGATTAGATAGATTAGATAGATTAGATAGATTAGATAGATTAGATAGATAAGATAGCTAAAATAGCTAAGATAGATTAGATAGATAAGATAGATAAGATCAGATCAGATCAGATCAGATCAGATCAGATCAGATCAGATAGATAGATAGATAGAATAGATAGATAGATATAATAGATAAAATAGATAGATTTGATAGATTTGGTAGATTTGATAGATTAGATAGATTAGATAGATTAGATAGATTGGATAGACTAGCTAGATTAGCTAGATTAGCTAGATTAGATGATTAGATAGATTAGACAGATTAGATAGATCAGATAGATTAGACAGATTAGACAGATTAGATAGATTAGGTAGATTAGATAGATTAGATAGATTAGATAGATTAGATAGATTAGATAGATTAGATAGATTAGATAGATTAGATAGATTAGATAGATTGGATCGATTAGATAGCTTAGATAGATCAGATAGATTAGATAGATTAAGATAGATTAAGATAGATCCGATAGATTAGATGCTAAGATAGATAAGATAGAACAGATAGAACAGATAGATAGATGGATAGATAGATTGATTGATTGATTGACTAGATAGATTAGATAGATTAGATAGATTGAATAGATTGGATAGATTGGATAGATTGGGTAGATTGGATAGATTGGATAGATTAGATAGATTAGATAGATTAGATAGATTAGATAGATTAGCTAGATTAGCTAGATTAGATAGATTAGATAGATTAGATGGTTAGATAGGTTAGATAGGTTAGATAGGTTAGATAGGTTAGATAGGTTAGATAGGTTCGGTAGGTTAGGTAGGTTAGATAGATTAGATAGATTAGATGGGTAAGATAGATAAGATAGATAAGATACATAGGGTAGATAGGATAGATAGGATAGATAGGATAGATAGGGTAGATAGGATAGATAGGATAGATAAGATAGATAAGATAGAAAAATATAGAAAAAGATAGATGAGGATAGATAAGGGTAGATAAGGATAGATGAGGACATATCAGGATAGATAAGGATAGATAAGGATTGGTAAGGATAGATAAGGATAGATAAGGATAGATAGGATAGATAGGATAGCATAGGAAGGATAGATAGGATAGATAGATTGATAGATAGATAGATAGATAAATAAATAGATAGATAGATAGATAGAAAAGATAGGATAGGATAGGATAGGATAGGTAGCTAGACAGATAGACAGACAGACAGATAGACAGACAGACAGATAGATAAATAGATAGATAGACAAGATAGATAGATAGACAAGATAGATTGGATGGATGGATGGATGGATAGATAGGTAGATAGAGAGATAGACAAATAGACAAATAGACAGATTGATTTCTAGATAGACAGATAGACACATATACAGATAGACAGATTGATTTTTAGATAGACAGATAGACAGATATACAGATAGACAGATTGATTTTTAGATAGACAGATATACAGATAGACAGATTGATTTTTAGATAGACAGATAGTTAGATATACAGGTAGACAGGTTGATTTTTAGATAGACAGATAGGCAGATATACAGATAGACAGATTGATTTTTAGATAGACAGATAGACAGATATACAGATAGACAGATTGATTTTTAGATAGGCAGATAGACAGATATACAGATAGACAGATTGATTTTTAGATAGACAGATAGACAGATAGACAGATTGATTTATAGATAGACAGATAGACAGATATACAGATAGACAGATTGATTTTTAGATAGACAACAGATATACAGATAGACAGATTGATTTATAGATAGACAGATAGACAGATATACAGATTGATTTTTAGATAGACAGATAGACAGATAGACAGATTAATTTTTAGATAGACAGATAGACAGATATACAGATAGACAGATTGATTTTTAGATAGACAGATAGACAGATATACAGATAGACAGATTGATTTTTAGATAGACAGATAGTTAGATATACAGATAGACAGGTTGATTTTTAGATAGACAGATAGACACATATACAGGTAGACAGATTGATTTTTAGATAGACAGATAGACAGATATACAGATAGACAGATTGATTTTTAGATAGACAGATAGACAGATATACAGATAGACAGATATACAGATAGACAGATTGATTTATAGATAGACAGATATACAGATATACAGATAGACAGATTGATTTTTAGATAGGCAGATATACAGATAGACGATTGATTTTTAGATAGACAGATAGACAGATATACAGATAGACAGATTGATTTTTAGATAGACAGATAGACAGATAGACAGATTGATTTTTAGATAGACAGATAGACAGATATACAGATAGACAGATTGGTTTTTAGATAGACAGATAGTTAGATATACAGATAGACAGGTTGATTTTTAGATAGACAGATAGACGCATATACAGATAGACAGATTGATTTTTAGATAGACAGATAGACAGATAGACAGATTGATTTTTAGATAGACAGATAGACAGATATACAGATAGACAGATATACAGATAGACAGATTGATTTATAGATAGACAGATATACAGATAGACAGATTGATTTTTAGATAGACAGATAGACAGATATACAGATAGACGATTGATTTTTAGATAGACAGATAGACAGATATACAGATAGACAGATTGATTTTTAGATAGACAGATAGACAGATAGACAGATTGATTTTTAGATAGACAGATATACAGATAGACAGATTGATTTTTAGATAGACAGATAGACAGATAGACAGATTGATTTATAGATAGACAGATAGACAGATATACAGATAGACATATTGATTTATAGATGTGAGGATGTGAGGATGAGAAGATGGGAAGATTTCAAGATGTTATGTGAATATGTGAAAATGTTTGACAGACCCTCAGTATTAGAAGAACCCTTCGTTCAAACGCTCTCGGGAAAAACAAACTTATCTGATGGTCTGCATCACCCCATCTCCCCACCTTCATGACCTGCCGTTCTTCGGGTGCCAGGTTGGTATCACCTGCCCCCAGTGAGATCACCCAGGTGATGGTTGATTATCAGCTATAGTTGACTATAATATAATCTATATAATAGTTGATAATAAAAAAAGAGTCAACTACTATAGATTATAATTTATTATCAACTTTTCATCTATATATATATATATACATATATATATACGTATATATTACTTATATCATCTTATATCTATATATCATCTTTCGCGTCTCAAGGTCCAGTGGGTTTTTCCATGCCACGAATTCAGCCGATCTTCGGGGGGTCCCCTCCTGCCTTCCGCTTCAGGTAGAGCACGCTCGCTCTTGTGCCATGTGTCACGCTTGGACGCGTAGAACCTGGCAGGATTAAGTTCTTCGTGTAAAATAGGCCCAGATTCTCCAACAAATATTGGGATTAAAAACTGTGATTTAAGCAGCAAGCTCTTCTTCAGTAGATAAAAGGATAAGTTGATCAGCTCTATCACTTACTTTTCAATGGATTTTTGACATGAGAATATATCATTTCAACATATTATATATATATGTATAGACAAATAACATGAACTTCTCAGTGGATTTCGAGGATAGTACATATCCAGTTGCATCCAAATAAATGTCAAAAAGAACCCACTCGCCAAGGTGCTGCTCATCAGCTGCGGCTGCCACTCGTGCCTGGCTGTGAATCATCAAGCATCATAGGAGCCTATAGATGGTGAGGGAAAAATATGAACATCAACCCTCCCGTGGTTGATCATAATCATTCGAATTTGTGTGTGTGTGATTAATGCTGTATCATGGTTTATCAAACATCATGAATCATTCTGGATCCTCCATGATCATCCATTATCAAACAACAACCCATGAATATCTGAATGCTTTGAGTACATCAAAACCTAAGTTTGAGTTCACCCCATCAAGATGCTTTCCCAAATTTCATCCACAATCCCCATTAATCCCCTATATCAGTTCGACCCAATCGAAATCTCGGGCTTTCGGCCTTCTGTCGCAGCTTTGCAGCGCAGAATTCCGCCTCGCTGGCAAAGCGCAGCCTGGCGGGGGTTGTATAACCCCCAATGGCCATTGGTTTTTGGGATAAACCAGTGGATGGAATGGGGTATCCATTTTCAAACAAATCCTGATGGATGTGATGATATTTTTGGAGGGGGTTGATACTCATAATCCAAGTTCCAGCTCGTGGAATGCTAGTAACATTCGAATTTACACACATCAGCCGGCCTTTCAGCCGCAAAGTGTCTCTCCCACTCCTGAGAAACTTGCTCTTATCTCAGAATGATGCGTTTATGCAGGCGTGGTTTACATTGTTTTACGCATTATTTTGCACCTCCAACTCATATACCATTACGTATCATCTAGCTCTATATTGTACATAAAAATACAAATAGACATGCACATATGTCAATATCATTCTTAAGTATGCGCTTATATATGTAATTATATATATATAAATGATCGAAAAATATATTACACACCCCGTAACCCCATTAACAATGATCAATCTCCAGGAATCCAATTGCACTTCGTGACCTTTTGGGATCCTAAAAATCCGGCTGTCCTCAAACTGCCGCCGCCGGAAACGCGCGTAGTCTTCGACCCTGCGGCGCTCCTCACGATCGAAAAACGGTGCAAGCTGAGGTATGTTTTCTTTTGCACCAACAAAATGATGTAGAAATCCTGTTGATATGAGGATATCATGGAAAAATACATGGAAACTAACAGGAACATCTTGACATTACAGGAATGTTCACAAATTGACAAACAGTCGAGAATCATTCTTGGATAATAATTATTGGATAGTAAATGAACCATGATATTCTAGCAGTGTGGACCGCCAACATGGTCAGTTTTAGTATTGAAGCCAACATTTTGCAGGTCATTTTGAGCCGTTTCCAAGTGTCCCATTCAAAGATCAGCTAAGCAGCTAACCGCAGCTAACCATTGGGGAGAGTCTTCAACAGCCCTTGCCCACCAATTTTGCCGTTGAAAATCCCATGACCTGCGGGCTGCCCACCTGTGCTTCTTGTTCGGCCCATTGCCGCTCGAGCTCATCCGTCAGTCCCCGCCTCGGTACAGCGAATTCGCACGATGAATATTTTTCACATGGATATATGCAAATTATGTATATATATATATCATTATTATTATTATCATTATTATATATGTATATTGTGTATATATATATATTAAGTATGTTATCATTATTATATGTATATTGTGTATATATATATATATATTATGTATGTATGTATAGATATATATATATTATTTGTTACATATATAATGATGTGTAATTATAGATAATGTGTATGTACACATATATATATATATACATACACATACGGAATATCAACAGCTTGGGATATTGAAAGAATGGATAGTGGCTGTTAAAGATATAGATGTACCATGCATACCATATAATATATGTAATGACGTGTATATATATATATATACCTATATACAAATGAATTGATTCGAAAATTGCCGAAAACCAGGCACCCCCACACATCGCTGGATGCTCCGAAACGCCCCAAACGCTGCTCCTGCTGGATGACCACATCCTAGGTTTTGGCCATGGTTTTTGACCCATCCCTATTTCAGTCTGAAACCTTTGCCAGAGTCCTGCCCAGTGTTGAAAAAGGCAGCAATTGGTGAAATTGAGTAACTGGCAGTTAGCGTTCTTGTGGCTATGATCCATCCCAGGCTTCCCCAGTGGACCTGGTTTTCTTGTTGGGGATGCTGTACTTCCACAACGAATCGGTATCCATCCCCGACATTCCCATACCAACTTGAAACAAGGTGATGTTGAGGAGATTCCTTACGAGCCCTCACTTTTAGTGACCTGGCATATCAAGATATATTGTGCTCAAACAAATTGCAAAAGCGTAAACATGCAGGTGCCATGTTCGAAGAAGTCATATGGCATCTGCATGCATCTGCCAGAAAGCTGTCTAGTCACCACGCTCTTCCGACTTGCCAAGACAAATTGCAGAAGCTTGTTCTGGCAAATATTGACACAGCAGGAACCAGAAACAGATCCCCCTGCAACACGGTGCACAGATCTCTTGTAGCGCATGGTATAGGGGCCCATCGTACTCATTTCTGGAGTTTGGGCCCGGGGGTCCGACGCGCAAGATATATCAAGATGCATTGTGCTCAAACAAATTGCGAAAGCGTCAACATGCGGGCGGAATTTAAAAAAAAAACGTTGTGGGGAAGTGGTTCCAATTCACCTAGACCTCCTTTCCCTGGTCCTCCAACTGCCGAGATCGCTGCTCCTCCTACACAGGTTCAAATGACCATAGAGGCGCCCCGAACATAACCGGCAACTGGCCGTCTTTGGGTCGACAACGCCAAAAATGTTGGTCATGGCTTAAATGGTCCAGTGATAAACCATGATTTTCCTATGATAAACCATGATTTTTCTGTGATATAAATGATAAACAAATATTTTCCTATGATAAACCATGGTTTTTCCTGTGATAAACAATTATTTTCCTATGATAAACCATGGTTTTCCTGTGACAAACAATTATTTTCCTATGATAAACCATGATTTTCCTGCGATAAACAATTATTTTCCTATGATAAACCATGATTTTCCTGTGATAAACAATTATTTTCCTATTACTATGATAAACCATCATTTCCCCGTGATTAACCATCCCAAAACCCAACTTTGGCCCAAAGCCATCTGGCTGCCTGTTCCAACTGCATCTTACGACGACTTTGACGTTCTTCCAGCAGCTGTCGCGCCTGGGGTGCGAACCCATCTCATGTTGCGATGTCTTCATGGTCAAGCTGCATCACTTGACACATGACACAGTCACCTCTTCTTCCCTTGCAGCTTGTTCTTCTGCTTCTCTCGCCTGTCACGGCTGGGTATGTCTGAAAATAGGCTTTCCATTATGTATGAATATATGAATATATATATATATACATATCTATATATATATACATATCTATATATATATATATATGTATGTGTATATTATATATATATGCGGATTTCCCACCAGTCACCGAATGATCACAAGACCACACTGGAAAGGAAATAAGATCAACCTCTAAAAACCCTGGGCACACTCACGAGCAGGCGCGTAGCTTTTGGACAGCGCTGCTAGAGTTCTGGCCACCACAAAAAGGGGGGCAACAATCCACTTGATCCGTACTGTCACGAAGTACAGGAATCAGATCTGCCATGAGCAAAGTCTTCAAATTATCACGGCTCAAAAATTCTTTCTTGCTCACATGGCAGTGGATTCGAGAGCATAGACACAGTGCAACCAATATGAGTGATCAGCATTCTGACTCACCATCTTCATCGCTCTTTTCTTCCGGGCAGACTGGAAATCCGGATCATACACGATTCGCCATTCTCCTTTTCCCAAAAATCTTTGATAAGGGGCTCATGTCTCCAAGGTTTAGTCAAACCATCCGCAAGTTCTTGATCCCCATCGACCCATTTCAAATTAACATTAGCCTGTTTCAACCTTTCTTTAATAGCCAGTAATTCAATAGCAGTACGTTTTTCTTCCATATGTAAACCAGAAGTCTCAACACGAACAATTCCATCAAAAATGTTACGAGCATCACAAACCAAACACGAAAGAAACGAAGAAAGGTAATCATCAGCCCTACGAAGATCCAACCTTTCAGAATGGTCCATGTCCCAGAAACCCAGTTTATTGAACTCATGAATGTCCAACGCATTTGCACTCATTCGGGCTTCAGCACTAGTTGAAGACCTAGCCACCCGTCGCAAACGTCGGCTTGTCCAACTCAACACACAAAAAGGTGTTCGGTGTCCCTTCAAAACATTCTTTTCCATCAAAAGGGTAATCTGACCTCCTTGAGATGACCCGTCTTTTCTGGTAGCCCATGAGGCATCGGTGAAAGTCACAAGAGTCACTTCGCCCATTAAAGGAGGAAAATAAAGCCCTTGATCAAACCGTTTTCTTTGAAGTCTGACAAGTTTGTTTACTGACACCAAGTCACCAACTGTAGCACTCTCGACAGTCCCTTGAAGAATTGAGACAGTAGCCAGCAACCAAGGAGCTGTCTGTGTTGCGCGCCAATTAAGAGCACCTAGTGCCTGTCTCATACTTCTGCGTTCACCATGTGTGATCTCATCAAAACTGTTTTCTCGTCGTTCAGTGGTCATAGGTATCTCTTCAATACCAAGTGCAAATCGCTCCTGCTTGACATGGATACCAAAATCATCATTTTGGGTGATTTCATAACCACAATAAGTAAGGGAACCCTCCTGTGCACAAGACCATGAACCAAAAGGATATTTTTCACGTAAACGATTAATAGCAGCAGTGAACTCAGAACCAACCCCGGCACAAAGAACATCATCGACATGAATCCCAAGATAACCACAAATCTCATTGTTTTCATCAATACGCTTAAATAAACATTTGTCAAGAGAATGAACAATCCAACCATCGTCAATGAGGAAACGACTCAGGGAATCATACCATCTTTTGGGGGCATTCAACAAACCATAAATGGCTTTGATGATTCGAATGATTTCATGATCCTTCATACCCAGCATCTGACGAACTTCCGGTGGAGGATATCCATACAATTCATCCTGGGATTCCGTGGCATCACCTTGCAAGAAAGCTGTGCGGATATCTCCTGAACTGAGACGCATGCGACTTCGCGCCGCGCAAGCTAGGAGAAGGTTTCTACCCAAGGAACTCAGAGTTGGTGATTCACGTGGTAAAGTGGTCAAACGAGGATCCTGAAAACCCTTGATAATAAGCCGAGCCTTGGCCTTTTTCTGTTCACCACCAATTTTCTCATCAGAACCTCCACTCTTCCACGTTAGGACCCAACGCATCTGCATGATACGATCAGCTGGAACTCCATGGGAAGTGCAAATGGCAATGGCTTCACTAGAAAGGAAAGAATCAAGTTCTTTACGCATAGCCTGATCAAACAGTTTCTGATCCTCTTGGCTAAGTTTTCGATAGGTAACTTCAGCACCTTTCTTTGCCTTGGCATTCACAACCCAATTTTCACCCTTCCGGTGGACATCCCGAGGCGCAAGAGCAAGTTCCATTTCTACCACAGTCAAATGATCAACATAATGAACAAAGCGATCCATCAACTTTTCACAAGGAGTATCACTCTGAACATGATCATCAACAAACCAGGTAAACAAATCACTAGATTCCATACCATGTTCTACCATGCGACTCAGGCGCGGAATAGGGGATCTGCTTCTTCCACTGGCTCTCAGGTGTCCCTCAGGCCTGCCTACTTCTGGATGAACTGGAGAATCTGACCCATGGTCTCCTCGATGCGAGCCATGCGGTAATGGATTGCTTCGTTCCCCTGACGAAGATCCACCAACTCCTCTTCCAGAATCTCCACCTTGCTCCACTGAGACGTTGTCGTCATCTCTTCCTCGTCCGTCCTGATGTTCAGGTCTTTCGAGAGAGGTGGAAGGCTTCCTTTTTCTGGATTCTCCGATGGAATTGGTTCGGTCTGATACACTTCGGCTTCCAGACGCCGACGCAGGTATGCTGCGTACTGCTTCATGGAGGCTCCGTGATTGCCCTTCTCGGTGATGTGACTGGCTACCCACTTGTTGTAGCCCGTGTCCTTGTAGATCTCGGCGAAGGTGTGGCCCCGGTGGACCTTCCCATCCTGGAGGGTCATCAGGCCCATTTCCGCCAGAGTCATCGTTTCGAAGGCTCCCTGCTTCTCGATTGCGTCCTTGGTCTCTTTCATATTCAAAAGGTCCTTGAGGTCTGTCTTCGCCATGGTCAATTGGATCACCGATGTGTTCCTGATCTTGGCACTTTTCCTTCCTAAGTTCCTTGAGAGGGCGCTTGCCCCACGCACGGAGATGAGGTTTGAATTCTTCTGGTGTTGCATCATAGGGCATGAAAGTCAGATCATCTTGGCTGATATCCAAATATTTTTGCTGTTGGGAAATTTGTTCCAACAGAGTATGGAAGTTTTGGGGTCCATTAATTTCACGATCCGCTTGTCTCAAGTCAAAAGTCACATGTCTCAGCTGCTCCGGAGAACATCGTATGATCCTACCAGCATGGGCAATCCAAACAACAGATCCCGCGTGTTGACTGTCATCATAGGAACTGGTTTTCTCATGAGCAAGGACTCTTGCGGGACCATGCCAAACACCCCCAAAACGATTGTTGGGACCCCGACCCTTGGAAGGTTGAACACGATAATAGTAAACCAAATCACCAACCGTGAACTCACGCAAGGGTCGACTACGTGTGTGCAGTGCCTTGTTGAAACGGCGTTTGGCATCAACCTCCAAAAACAGCCTTTTTGCCTTTTCTTCATTTGCAACATTTTCTTCAAAAGTCCAGTCCTCTCTGGCCGTCATCAAGGGAAGGTTTTCATACTGTTGAAGGAAAGAACCAATACGTGAATGATTTTGACCAAAAGCCCACTGATTTGGTGAGTACCCACGAACATTGTGCATGTTATTTTTGGCGTTCAAACAAACACTCAAAATTTCTTGGGTGGTCATTCCAGTTCCCACATCCATGGCCAAAAGGTTCATCTGTTCTTTGAGTGTATGCAAGTGCCTACTGTGCTTTCCCAACTGCCATGCGCTCTCCCCTGCCACCGGTTCAAGCTTCATTCCGAATCCGCCGACCCCGGCCTTGGCCAAGGCAGGGGCGGCGCCTGGGACCACCGCAGGTGTGGAACTTCTCCTTCTTCGCTTTCCACGGTCAAACCCATCTTGCAGCCATCAAGCTACATCAATAGCTTCTTATGGCCACTCTTGCAGGCAACAGGCACCCCAGCCAACATGCACCCCAGGGCCACACATCAATGGCTTCTTATGGGCGTCCAAGTCTGCCCTTTGCCAGCCCTAAAACCCTCCAAACGCTCCAAACCCTCCAAACCCTTAAAACCCTCCAAACCCTTAAAAACCGTAAAACCCTTAAAACGGTGACTTGGCATGCTTCATCCTGCAGCCAACAGCCACCCCGCGCCACACATCAATGGCTTCTTATGGCCACTCTTGCAGCCATCCGGTTCTTATGGCCACTCTTGCAGGCAACAGGCACCCCAGCCAATTCTTATGGCCACTCTTGCAGGCAACAGGCACCCCAGCCAACATGCACCCCAGGGCCACACATCAATGGCTTCTTCTGGGCGTCCAAGTCTGCCCTTTGCCAGCCCTAAAACCCTCCAAACGCTCCAAACCCTCCAAACCCTTAAAACCCTCCAGGGCCACACATCAATGGCTTCTTATGGGCGTCCAAGTCTGCCCTTTGCTTCTTATGGGCGTCCAAGTCTGCCGTTTGCCAGCCCTAAAACCCTCCAAACCCTTAAAACGCTCCAAACCCTCCAAACCCTTAAAACCCTCCAAACCCTTAAAAACCGTAAAACCCTTAAAACGTTGACTTGGCATGCTTCATCCTGCAGCCAACAGCAACCCCGCGCCACACATCAATGGCTTCTTATGGCCACTCTTGCAGCCATCCGGTTCTTATGGCCACTCTTGCAGGCAACAGGCACCCCAGCCAACATGCACCCCAGGGCCACACATCAATGGCTTTTTCTGGGCGTCCAAGTCTGCCCTTTGCCAGCCCTAAAACCCTCCAAACGCTCCAAACCCTCCAAACCCTTAAAACCCTCCAAACCCTTAAAAACCGTAAAACCCTTAAAACGTTGACTTGGCATGCTTCATCCTGCAGCCAACAGCCACCCCGCGCCACACATCAATGGCTTCTTATGGCCACTCTTGCAGCCATCCGGTTCTTATGGCCACTCTTGCAGGCAACAGGCACCCCAGCCAACATGCACCCCAGGGCCACACATCAATGGCTTCTTATGGGCGTCCAAGTCTGCCCTTTGCCAGCCCTAAAACCCTCCAAACGCTCCAAACCCTCCAAGCCCTTAAAACCCTCCAAACCCTTGAAAACCGTAAAACCCTTAAAACGTTGCCTTGGCATGCTTCATCCTGCAACCAACAGCCACCCCGCGCCACACATCAATGGCTTCTTATGGCCACTCTTGCAGCTAACCGGCACCCCAGGGCCACACATCAATGGCTTCTTATGGGCGTCCAAGTCTGCCGTTTGCCAGCCCTAAAACCCTCCAAACCCTTGAAAACCGTAAAACCCTTAAAACGTTGCCTTGGCATGCTTCATCCTGCAACCAACAGCCACCCCGCGCCACACATCAATGGCTTCTTATGGCCACTCTTGCAGCTAACCAGCACCCCAGGGCCACACATCAATGGCTTCTTATGGGCGTCCAAGTCTGCCCTTTGCCAGCCCTAAAACCCTCCAAACGCTCCAAACCCTCCAAACCCTTAAAACCCTCCAAACCCTTAAAAACCGTAAAACCCTTAAAACGTTGACTTGGCATGCTTCATCCTGCAGCCAACAGCCACACCGCGCCACACATCAATGGCTTCTTATGGCCACTCTTGCAGCCAACCGGCACCCCAGGGCCACACATCAATGGCTTCTTATGGGCGTCCAAGTCTGCCGTTTGCCAGCCCTAAAACCCTCCAAACCCTTAAAACGCTCCAAACGCTCCAAACCCTTAAAACCCTCCAAACCCTTAAAAACCGTAAAACCCTTAAAACGTTGACTTGGCATGCTTCATCCTGCAACCAACAGCCCCGCGCCACACATCAATGGCTTCTTATGGCCACTCTTGCAGCCAACCGGCACCCCAGGGCCACACATCAATGGCTTCTTATGAGCGTCCAAGTCTGCCGTTTGCCAGCCCTAAAACCCTCCAAACCCTTAAAACGCTCCAAACCCTCTTAAACGCTTCCAAACCCTCCAAATATGTTTTAGGCTACGTTTGCTGGGCTTCTTGAGTGGCTCTAATGTCGCGCACTTCTTTTTACATTCTTCCTCCGACCTTGAAACGGGGTCGGCGGCAACCAGGGCGTTATGGGCGGCATTTATATCAGGATTATATCATATAGTTCTGGTAGTTTCAAGGAACGCAGGGACTTGTTTGTTTCCTTCTTCATGTCTCTTCAAAGCGATTGTATTTTGCTTCTTTCCAAATCTTCATCTGTCCCTGTGTCCTGTAGCTAGTTGCAACAGAAACAGGGAATGCTTTGGACGTTGTGTCCAGGAAAACCGTCAAGCGATTCATGTGCAATGCAAGATAATGCGTGGCATATCCTTGTATAGATCCTCTAAGAAACAGAAAAGCAAGACAGTTTCCGAAGGGAGGCGAAGCACATATTCAAAAATCTTCAGAAGAATCCGAAAGTATCCAACCGTTGTGTTTCAAACTCCTCCCCAACTGGGACATTTAACAACCCCTGATCTATCACAAAATAAACCAACGAATGACTGGAACACTGGAACCATCGAAGTATGTGAACAATTTTTGTTTTTTCCCAGACTTGACTGACAAAATCTTACAAATCAATTTCGGGGATTATTTTTTTCAATGGACTTGTGACTTGTCTAGCCAAGTTATGAAAAAAATACGATATTTGGGTGTGTCGGAAAATAAGATATATATAACATTATAACATTATGTAACATTATATAACATTATATAACATTATATAACATTAATTATGTAACATTATATAACATTATATAACATGATATAACTACCACCAAATTCCCATGGCAACCTCATTTTCAAGGCGCAGTTCTTTCGTGGTGTTTTTTCACATGGGGGTTTTCAATCCTTCGGTTTCCCCTAGTGGCCCTAGTCCTGTGCCAACCTTGGGTCCGAGAGTCCAAGTCAGCTTCTGGGAAGCGGCCGGTATTCAGCCACTCCGCAGATGCCAACCCCTGGTCCTGCACGGAAACCCTTAGCGCCATGAACTCACCACTGGGAATGGGGAAAACACCACCCATAGAAATGGTGATATTGAGGATGGTTTATTGTTGGATTTACATGGATTTACATTATCCTGATATATCCTGATCTTCATTTGAGGATGATTCTTGGGGTGAACAGGTAAATCGTTGTAAATCAATATGATACATGGAGATTTCTATCACAAAAACATCCTGCGATTGTTCAACTGTGTACCCACCATCAGCAATATCAACAATTCTCAACTGTTTCAAGAGTTGGTAGGATCTTGGAAAAACATCCCCAGCCTTCATCAACCACTATCGAACCCTTGTATTTTGAAGGCTCGACCTGGTCAACTCATCATTTTTGATATATGGGCCCTACAAACTGGATTTCCCATGAATCCCCCCATCATTCTTGGATGATTTTGGGGTCCTCCCTGTTAAGAAACCGCCATACCTGGCCCCTTTCACCGGCCAAACGTGCTGCAGCGCCTCCGCGTCCCGGTAGAGCGCCAAAGCTTCCGACAAACGGCCGCAGTGGAACAGCACTTTGGCTGCAGCGTTCAACACCACCTGGGCCCCAAGTGGGACGACTGAACCAAGCAGTAAATTGGAACATCAAAAAGTGGAAATATGAAAACTATATAAGAATTATAGTAATTTGAATCAAGCCTGTATGGTTTCTCCAACCAATGAATACCAATTCAATTATTGGTCAATATTGGTCATTCATGGTCATTTAATGAGAACATATATTGAAAATTAGTTTGACCCACGGCCCTCTGTCGATCAGCAGATGGTTTTCTTGGCGCAATGTATTCAACAGGCTTCAACATCTTAAAACCATCCAGTAGGTAGATTGAGTTTCAGCACCGTCAGATGCATAGGCCTTTCCCGCAGAAGATCGAAACGTTTTTCAACATGGTTCAATACTATAAATGTGGGCTAAAACAATATAAAACAATAATAAATCATCCCCAAATCACCATAAATATGTGGTATAAACCATTCCCAAATGGGTGGTTTATGATTGTTT